ATGGACCAAGTAAATATCAGGTCTTCAGTAAAGGCTACTGTGCAAGATAATATTTCATTTTATATTTCCAGCAATGTTACACAGTCATCTCTTTTCTTCTTTTGCTTTCAGAGATATATTTTATGTTCCTGGTAAATGTTCTCCCAGCCTACTCTTTGGTTACATTTTTGTTCTTGATGCAATAATCATGTGGATAAGTTTGTCCATGGACTCCAGAGGCTGGAGTTTGGATTTGCAGAGGTCGCTCTTAGTCTTTTTTCAAGACAGTTCCTAAGCAACCAGAACTCTGATCTACAAATCACTTCTGAACTCACTGCTGGTCTTAAGCTCAATTTAAGCGATTGTATCTAAGACTGCAAACCAAGTATCATGTATAATCTTTAGGAGCCATCAATTTAACTGGTAAGCATCTCTGGGTGAAAAGAGATGCCTTCAAACCTAACAATTTAGAACCTCACTTGAAAAATGAGAAGATGCTCAGCTTATTATGCAACAGCCTTTGGCTTAAATTAAAATCCATAGGTTGTGCCTTTCAAAAAGTGCTCCAGTCCCAGGTTAATGGTGGATCTGGTGTGGCTTCTTTGGCTCTGTGACCAAGAACACAAGGCTGCCACTAGTGCCAAAAGGGAAGCGCTAAGAGGCTGCATGATTGTCAGACAGTGAAACTGTGCACTTACTTCACAAAGAGGCATTCCTGGTTATGATTATCACTCCTAAGACTATTTATACCTGTCATATTTTAGATTCATTAAAGTACATTAACAATTCTGGAGGCAGAACAGAATTCTTGATGTCTTCAGACTGAATTTAAGGTGAAATTCTGGTCTCAATAAACCCTATACAGCTGCTTATCACAGCTTCATTCTACCGTTTTAGATGCCACTAAGTACAGAGAAACATCCCAACATCTAAAAGACTATTCTGCAACTGTTTTATACCTATTGCACTACAGAATGGGTATTTTCTTCCCATTGTAGTAGTCTTTCTGTCTTTTTGTTTCAGACTAGGGACAGCTGGATGACGAAATGAAATGGGCTACGTATTTCAAACAAATCAGTTCTACCCAACCGGTCGGTGATTCCTTTATTAAAATCAGAAATATGTGGAGAAACAGGAAACAGAGCACAGACACATCCTAAAAATTGTACTTTTGTATTAAAAGATAAAAGTCCTCTCCCCTATGTAGCAAGACCTTCAAAGATGAAAAGAAATATGAGTGCACTGAAGAAAGTTTATCTGCATTCAGTACCTGATCATACAATGAAGCATTTTTCCTGGGTTCAAATTTCTGAACATTACCAGTGTATCTTGCTTTGAACTTTTGTAACTATTTTAGTAGTTGTGTATATATTTTAGAATTATTTCAAGTATTAAGCATCAGTATAAACAAAGCTTACTCATGAAAACATTCAACATGATGAGCACATCCAATGATGCTGAAAAAATGAGCCCAGCAACGTGTCTGTTGCAATACAAGTCCCATGCCTGTACTTTGTCAACTACTCTCTGCCAAGACATCAGAAAACCAGATGCAAGATAAGGTCATGCGCCTATGCATCACTGTTTATTCCACAAGAGCCACACACAGAACAGTACTGTCTGTGTGTTCAAAACTCACAAATTTTACAATGAGTAATACAGAAAAATTACACCACTTTACCAAGAATTGAGATACTCTTTAAACAGTTGGCTGCTAATTATCCTTAAATCACTTTAAACAGGTTTCAAGATCTGCAGGTCAAGCTCTTGTACTGCAAGGGAATCAGTAATAAATGAACTCATTTTCCTTCCATTCTAGCCCCAGTACTGGTTACTAGTTACCAGTTTTATCAGGGTTTAGAGGTTCTGTTCGTGACATGTTCTCAACTCAAAAAATTAAATCTATAAATTGGAACACTGACTGAAACAAGTACAAAGTGCCTGAAATCCAGAACACATCCTCTGTATATGATGGACCACAATCTACACTTATTACAATCTTTTCCTTATTTTTAGCTTCCATTCTTTTACAAATATTGATTCTTTAATTGCAAAAACTGTAGAGCAGATAAGCTCTAGAACCACAGGAAATAGCCATTTGGTTCTGTATAGGAATATAAATTAAGAAGTTATTACTTAAACTAGTATTTCAGAATCAGTGGAATCTTGTATTGAGATATAAAAACCTCAAAGTACTATACTTTTCTGCTTCTTCTAGCTGCACTTCTTCTACTGCTACATTCTGAGCCTAAATCAGTCTTTTCTACAGTTTACAGATAATCTAAAGTTTATTACAGTTTGCATATGGTGCGTACAAATTACTTCAATTTATTCAGGTTTGGTTTAGCTTACACTGTTTACTGTATGAATACAGTATATATATTCAACAGCACAGATAAGCATGCAGCATTCCTAGGAACTGAATGTTTTCCTTAAATATTGTGCAATGGAAGGGTAACAGAATGAAGTACTTGTTGCACTGATGTACCTTCAAACAAATAAAATGCCATGGTGTTAGAAAAACACATAACCTCAAATTAAATAAATGCAACGAAAATGAAAGGTTTAGCATTGTTCTCGTGCTACTATTTCTCACATAAAATCTCTCAAATATACAGCTGCTGCTGCCCTCGTAGCAAAAAGCAAAAAGCTGCCTGTTGGCTCCTGTACTTGCGCTTCTGAACTCACAGGCACATCCCTTGCAGCTCTGGCTGGAAGCTTGCACATCACTTCTGGCACTCTGGGAAACTAGCTACAAGTACCTCACTCTCATGTGTTTAAGCAGAAAATAAACCTCTGTTCTTTCAAGTCAAGCCCTCAAAAAAGAATGACTATCCAGGGAGGTGTTCTTGTTCCACAGGTTTTTGAATTTTTATGTACAATAAAAGTTCTTCCAAACACTGTCATTTAACTAAGGACCCTGAGAAAAGAAAACCTCTTTAAAAGAAGGTGAAATTAAGATGCATCCTTAAAGGTATAGAGGATGACATCAGATAAAATGAAAATGCAAAACAGTTAACAAAGAAAACTAAGTAGGCAACACATGGTATTTACACAGAACAGAACAACTTCAAAGAAGTTAAAGGAAGGATAAATAGAGCATTCTGTACTGTATTGAAGTAGGCCCACTGGATGCAAAGCAGTTAAGAACTCTTAAGTGGAAGCTCTTTCTGACCGCCCATTCTTGAGGCTTCTAAGCTTACACCTAGGTCTTCAGACTTACACCTACATCTTCAGCTGGATTTCAATAAAGTTGAAGAGAATTACAAAGGTCAATCTCTGTGCATGTGTATTAAACTAAAGCCATGAGAATTTATACTCACAGGCCATGGCTGGAGATGTTTTAGACCTTCTTCTACTTTTTCAATATCTGCAAATTTTGTAGCTCCATCTGCATCAGCCATAAGAATTTTTTTCCCCCGAGAACTAAAGACACCCTCCAATGAAAATAGTCAATAAAAATCAACAATTTTGAAATCAGTATTTGTCATAAGCTATATGCAAAAGACTCCAAAAACCTAATATAGTAACAAGAACAGTGATATCTCACAGATTCAACACAACAAGTGAGTCAATATTCTGCTACTAACCACAATCTACCAACTTATAATAACATCTAGAGACTTTACACACTGTGTGGTGTCCCACAGTGACACACAATCCATGAACACAAAAGGCTAACAATCCCTCTGAAGAGAAGGTTCCAAACTAAAAGCTTCACAAACCAAAATCTAAAAGTCAACAAGTTGCTACAGTCAGCTGTAGAAGGGAGCACAAGAAGCAGTGATTAGCAGCTGCCACTGCACTGAATGGCTTTTCTTTGTCATTTCAGCTATGGAAAGGAAGATGCAGAGGTAGTTTTTCCCAACACTGTTTCAAAAGAATTCAACAGCTATTTCTCAAAACTAATTTAAGATTCAGTCTTAAGTCACAGTCTCACTGCAAAACGTTTGTGATGCACAGGTCTCACAGCTTGTTTTGCCATATTCTTGGTCAGAAAAATTTCACAATTTTTGAAGGGGTCCAGACAGGAAAACAATTAGCAGTGGGTTTGACCGAAGTACTGTCACAACCAAGCATGTGTGAGTTTGGAAAACCCTGTCAAGGAAGTAGTTGTATACACATCCACTCTGCACTGCAAAAGTGTATCACACAGAGAATTTTCTCCTTCTCTTGAAATAACATCAGAAGTATATACTTTACAAAAGTCCCATATGTTCTAATATAACATTCTCTCCATTTCCTATATTTACTCATTTTTCATAAAAAAAATAAAATGGACACATTAAAGATAGAGCATAAAATACAGATAAAGACAAGTCACTGATAACTCACAGATGATACTACTCTTTTTCGTAAAAGTAAAGTGTTATTCATCTTAGGAAAAAATATTCCTTCAAAATGTCTAATAGCTGTTTTATTTTTAGGACAACATGATTTCAGGATAATGTCTATGTGAAAGCATAAATTGTGCTGTTTCTGCTATTGAGTGTGGGTGATGACAGTGGGCTTCAGTAGAAACAAACTTTGCTGGATGAGAATGCTTCTTTATTAGCCATTTTAAAAAACACATCTATGACCTGAAGAACAAAGTTTGCAAATTTGGCTGTATTTTGTCTACAAAAAGTTAACTTTAATCTGTAACAGTTTGGTTGTTTTTTTTTTTTGGTTGGCTTTTATAAACACAAGTCTATTTCTAAGTGGAACTAACATGAATATGAAATTCAAGGGTTTTTTTACCCTTTGAAATCTCATACAAAAAAATGTCTTCATTATTCATCTTCCTGGCAAGAAAATACTGTTTCCAAGATCTCAAATAAGCTTATTTTGAAAAACAGGTTTTGCTTTAATTTATAGAATCTGTACTCAATTTTCTCATAATCATTTTGTTAATGCATTGAATCAGCACAAGTTTATCTTCTGTATATTTGGTGGTTCAAACAGAGAAGGAGATGAAAGTATCTATTACCATGCTGATTGCTTCTCCTTTCCCTTGATTTTTTACCGAAGAAAGCACTTACACTTTGTCACTTCCATATTTCTTGCAGTACTCCATTGCAACCTGACAGACGCACAAAAAACCACCATAAAACAAACCCAGGAATCAAGGTAGAAGTTTACATTTGCTCACCTTTTAAAACAAAATAAATTAACAGCACAGAGGTATAACCACTTCAGTCAGCACAAATACATTGCCAGTGTTCGCTGGAGTCTGTTCGGGAAAATAAAAACTAGTTCACAGTCAAAACAAGAAGACTGAAGAAACCAGTCATGTTCAAAAGAACAGGATACTCCAAACCCCATTCTCCCACCTCCAAAAACCTCAAACCTAATTTAACTTATACTATTACAGACCTTTTATATTAACACCAATAGTTAATAAAATAAATATAATTTTCTACTACAGTCACCTATTTATCACTTGTCTTGCTGCTGTTTGTGGTTTTAAAGAAAAATTCGCATTGATCTAAAATCCCATTCACACTGCAAAGATCTGCAGATTTTGTTCCATGCTGTGAGGAAGAGAAAGCATGAATTTTCTCATTTTAATTTTTTCTAAAGGTTGTCTTGAGTGCTTGTAAGTCCAGAGGCCTGCAGCCGTTGTATGCTCAGTTAAAAGAGATGCCAGAAGGAATGCACAGTAGTCAAAAATATTTACGAGCAATCCTTAATGGACAAGCTTAAGGAAAGTAAATCAAAAAGCACTATGCATTTTAGCAGCTACCTCAAATATCTTCCAAGCAGTAGTAAAAAAAGTCCTCAAGTTAGCGACCCTTCCTTGCCAGTGACATACATCAAAGTTGAACCAGAAGAATACAGAACTATTTTGAAAATACTACTACTGACACAGGGATTTTTAAATAAACAATGCCATGAAGAGTGTGAAGAACTATGTCAGATGTTCTGTCAATCACAGTATGAATTGGGTATTTTAAAAGACTTTTTAGCTTCCTCAAGTTCATATTCACATCATCACTATGCATACATAGAGTATTTCGTAAGAAATTTCTTGAAGTTAGGATTAGAATTCTGAGAATCTCAGCTGCAGGAAAATGGCTGTCACACTTGCCAACCAAGAAAACTAGAATTTGCAAAAGAATTATATGTGTATTCATGTGCATACGTGACATCCATGATGTATAAAGAACAATGACAGAAAGCACTCAGAAATATGAACTTCAATTGTCAACTATTTCAAGTACCAAAATATAAATGCAAAAAACTGTTACATTCCACCAACGTAGTAAAAAACCCCACACCTCTGACTGCTTGGGAAGACAATTGTTTTTCTTACCTTTGTAGTTTGATCTTTACTGCCATCATTAGCCACTATGACTTCATAAGTCTCGCTTCTTGAAAATAAAAGCAGAAATAATATATTTAATCCAATTTCATAAGTAGGCAGTAGGTCTTTCAAACATCATTATTCTTTTCTCTCCAGCAGGTTTTAAATCATTCATGATTGCCAATGGATACTAATATGATATAGTAAATTTGTTAACATGGCATAATTAAAGAATTTTGCCATACTTGATGAACGTACCATTGCACTGGGTTGTCATGCTACCATCCAGAACTGAAAAATCAATTCAATTGTAAGAGATGAACACTCGGAACATTATCGCTGTTGAGAAAACCCAAACAGAACAAATCCACAAACTTTCACAATGGGCTTCTTACCCAGAGAACAAATCATAATGAAGAACAGACACTTAAGAAACTTGTTGGAACAAACTAGGATTTAGTTTAGAAAGTTAAATGTATGGCTAATCTTTAGCTTTGTCTTGGAAAGATAACATTCACATGAAGATTTTTTCATCGCATAGCAGTATATTAAATTTTTACTTAATTTAAAAATACTTTTTTGCAATTGATCTAGAAATAACTGATAAGAGACCGAAGTGTTACTTCTAAGTAGCCAAGTATTACTGTTTAATATACACTAACATAACAAAGTAACTAGATGACTGCTTATTATACATAATACACCAAAAAATAATGAATTTTGAATGCAAAAAGAAAATACCTGTCTTTTTCCTAGATAATCCAAAGCTTCATCCATCATAAGAGGTACTAGAGAAAAGGTGGAGGAGGTCAGGTTAGTAGATTATAACAGGCAAAGCACCAAAAGCACTTGCACAAGCAAGCTGTAAACAACCACAAAGCAAAGCTGAGCAAATCGACTCTTTCATACGACACTACCTTCAACAAACAAGCTTAGCGGCTGCAACTTGAAGTTCTGTCCTTTCTGACTGAAAAAAGAACACTGAAGAAAATCACGCACATGATAAAAGACATGATAAAAATATTTCTTCCGAGGAACCAATTTTTCATTTTGAAATTTGTAATTCTCTACACAAGATTAAAAGAAAAAGAAATCATTCTTCATGACTGACCTTGAAAACCAGCACTGACTTTATCTACTTAAGCAAGCTGACAGCTTGTGTACTACCGTGTTTGATTATTTCTATCACATCTGAAAGCTTTCACTCAGTATCAGGTACTCATATCTATGGCCAAGTCAAACACAAACCTGTGAGATCATCCTTTTTTCTGCTCGTCTGAAGCTGCTGCTGTTTAAAGGGTGGAAAGCTCTCAAATCAGTTTTAAAAGTCTTTTTTTTACTTCTTGCCTTGCAGCATTTACAGGAGCAATGAACAACCATTCTTCTGGGGTTCATTAAAATAGAGGACTCGTAGTTAAAGTGCCCCATGCTATTTTTTGCAGCAGAAATCAAGTTATACAATGACTTAATTTTGAAATTCAATGTAATTGGACTGTTTTCTGGAAATTGTGTCCAAAATCTGATACATAATCTGGCCTGCCAGAATCTACCCCAAACATAACTGACCTCTGCATTATTACAGTAACAACAGATAGATTTTCTTCTTTTCCTCAAAACAAGAAAAATCTTACACCAGTCTTCATCATCATATGAAGGCATCACAACAGAGTTCCCTCGTAGGGGGATCATGTATACTTTGTACAGGTTCTTTCCTGCCTTCAGCGCTTACGAAGAATTTCTCTTCTTTGTGTCGGTGAAGGGTTGGCATTTTTTTGGGAGTTAAGTAAGCTATTGCACAAATCTATGATGAAAAAGAAATAAGAAAAGTTGTTGAGCATTCTATTAGAAGTTGACCTAGCTGTTGAATGTGCTACAAAGGGTAACCAAATGTATTTCAATAATGAGGTGGGTCAATGCTGTGGAACTTGATCCACTGATTGAATCACACAGGACTAAAATCCTCTCATGTCGTTTGGTTACTCCTAGTCTGACCACTGTCAGCATCATTGGCTTGTTACTATTTTTGACTGCAAAGCATGCAGATGCCTCCAAAGTTGTGGTCCAAGCGCACACAGCCCCTTCCCCAAGTAATCCTGAGCACACAAACTGGTGCAGCCCCTGATCCCACTCTGCGCCACTGAAATCAAGGCCTTGGCTCATGACCAGCCAGCCATGTGCTTGCAAAACAGAGGCTCTGATCACCTTATGAATAGCTACAATAAAGCCATGGAACTTGGGGTTTGGAGCACTTTATTTGGTAACACCACATACAGAATCACAGAATCAATTAGGTTGGAAAAGACCTCTGAGATCATCGAGTCCAACCTACAACCGAACACCACCATGTCAACTACACCATGGCACTGAGTGCCACGTCCAGGAAACACCTCCATGGACAGGAGGCATACGTGGACAGAAGGATTCCACCACCTCCCCGGGCAGGAGGTATACGTGGCACTGCGGACAGGCAGCAGAATTCCACCTTCCAGGGTGTCCAATTTCTGCAACTTGCAGGGTATTTCAGCCACGCAGAGACACAGCGATTTCCCAAATTGTTACCGCGAACGGGCGTTACCAGGACATTTCCCAAGGCGTCTTTATCCCCTCGGCAGGTCCCCGGACGCCTTGCCTGCACCAACCCCCGCACCAGCGCAGCCCCGCCGGTTGCTGCCCGCACGGCTCCAGGTGCCACCTGCTGCTCCAGGGCCAGCCCTGCCCGGGCCCGCCGCAGCCCCCCGGGACCCCCTGGCAGGGCCGCGACCCGCGGGCAGTGCCCCCGCTCCGCATCGCGGGGGTGGGCACGGGGCGGCCCCGCGCACCGCCCCCGCCACGGAGCCCCCCGGGCCTGCCGTGACCGCGGTGCGCAGCTCTCACCAGGACGAGCAGGAGGGTGGCGAGGGTCGCCAGCGCCGCCGCGGGCAGGGATAGGGACAGGGACAGGGACAAGGGCAGAGACAGCGGCAGCGTCATTGCCCCCGGCGGCGCGGCAGCGAGGCGGATGCGGCGGCAGCGAGGCGGATGCGGCCGCACCACCCGCCGCTGTCGCCGGAAGCCGCCGGCGCCCCCTCGCGGCCGGGCCCCGCCAGCGCCGCTGGCTCGACCGCCGCCGCCAAGGCCGGTCCGCCCGCAGAACCTGCCGGGCGGGCCGACCGCCAGGGGGCGCCACATCCGGGGCGGTGGCGGTGCCGCCATGGCAGCCGCGTTCAGGTAAGTGCGGGGCCTGGGGGCCGCGGTCCCGCCAACCCCGCTCCGGGGTCCCGCCCGCGCGCGAGGATCGCGGCAGCGCCGCCCGGGTCCCGCGGGGCCGCTGGGGCCCCTCCGCGCCACCGCGGCGGCACTGCGCGCGCGAGGGGAGCGGGCTCTGCGCGGCCCCCCGGGATGGGGTCGGTGTTGAGGGGGATGCGGTGCCCCGGTGTGTGCGAGGGGGCTGAGCGAGCAAGGAGTGTCCAGCCGGGAAAAGGCCTGGCAAAGCGCGACGCTCAACGTGGCCCGGAGCTACCTGGTGTCACAGAATCGCAGAGTATCCCGAGTTGGATCCACAGGAATCACCGAGTCTAAGTCCTGGCCCTACGCAGGATACCTAAGAGTCACACCACGTGCCTGAGAGCGTTGTCCAAACCTTCTTGGACTCTGTCGGGCTTGGTGCTGTGGCCACTTCCTTGGGAAACGTCTTCCAGCACCTAACCACTCTCTGGGTGAAAAACCTTTTCCTCATATCCACCCTAAACCTCTCCTGACACAGCTGATAGCATTACAAGGAGATTAAAACTGTAGGGAATTCAGTGGCTTCTCATTTATAACTGCTCGTTTTAGAATAGTAGAATGGTTTGGGTCAGAGGGAATCTTCAAAGATCATCTGATTCCGACCCCCCTGCCGTGGGCAGGGACACCTGCAACTAGACCAGGTTGCTCAGAGCCCTATCCAACCAGGCCTTGAACTCTTCCAGGGATGGAGCATCCACAGCTTCTCTGGGCAGCCTGTTCTAGTGTTCTTGCTTCTGTATTTATGTCTTAAATGTGCAAAACAATGTTTAGCAAGTGCTTTTACATGAATTGGAAGAGAACAGGCATTTTGTTGGACTTCAGAGAACCAGTAGTACAGGACCAATATATATGGAGCCAACAGGAGCTAATTGATGCTTGCCATTATGTTTGTGATATCTCTGTATGTTAGTTCGCCTTTGGAAAACTTGCTTTTCCCATTTATCTTTTTCTGATTTTTCCTTCAGAAGCACTATATTAACAAAACTGTGACTGCTTTGTTTAAATATTAAGAATACTTTTATAAAAAAAAGGTGGGGTTGTTTTTTACATTAATGATCCTTGCTTAAAATACTAATACACGAACACTGATAGTAGTATGTAATTAATAATGAGTGTTAATTATTTCTCACCTGAAGCACTGCATGAAGCGTATTTTGTAATTTTATATTTTCTCAAAGGTTCTAAGAAAAATTGTAGCATTTAAAATTGTTTTATATCATTTTGTACATCTGAATGCGGTCCTTGAACTAACAGATATTTCAGGCACAGTTATAAAATTCTACTTTCTGCGTTTCTTGAAAACCATTCTACAGCCGTCTGTTCAGTAAACACTTCTGTTGATTTATAACTGATATTATAAAATATCAGGTGAAAGCTAGTAGTTTTTGTTAGGTATATGTGCAGACAGGTTCCTTGTAAGGAGGAAGCATTTTCGAGCGGAATGTAGGAAAACAGATCGGTTCAGAGTTTTCTCATCTTTCCATAACCATATTGCTAAGCAGCTTTGCTTAGCATTTGCTTTGCCATACTACTAGGCATCTTGATTCTCCAGTTGTTTGTTGTTGTGCGTTAGTGCTTGCTTATCTTTTTTTTTTACTATCTCTTACCTACTCAAGAGCTTGCATGTGAACTTCTCTTTATATTTGTTTTAGAACTGTGGAACCATTGGAATATTACAGAAGGTTTTTGGTGAGTAAAACATGAGATGCCTGTATAAATTGCCTGTAATGAATTTTTTCTTTCTTGTGGTTCTTCAGATCTAACACGATGGAATATTGTTCAATTTTTAACTTAAGGGTCTTGTACTGTGCAGTTTCTACCTGATGGTATTTCAATGTTATGGTTTTTTGGGGTTGTTTTGCTTTAGTTCACTCTCTTTAGAGCTCCACTAGGTGGGGATGGAGGAGGGGAATTGCCTACGAAACCTTAGCAGTGCAGACAGGTGGAAACTCTCATTTGAAGTTACCAACGAGTATTCATTCATGGATGATGTTCTGAATCTAGCCTGTAATACTTACCTTTGAGACAATCAATTTATTGTTATATTTTCTAAATAAATTATAATAAATTTTAAAAATCAGGGATTTTTTTGCAGGCCTAGAACCACAAACTACATATCAATTGATGAAAAACCAACTAGAGTGTGACCAAGTTTTTACTAGCATTTTTGAGACTGTATATTTCTGCTAAAAAGAAGAGACTATTATTTTATATCAACTTCTATAGCATAGATATTACTGTATTATTTAATAAAGTATGTTTTCTAATTTGAACTTTGTAATTTTTGTTTAGAAAGAGAACTGTCGACCTGATGGAAGGGAGTTAGGTGAATTCCGAGCAACCACTGTCAACATAGGCAAGTGCTTATTTGGAGTAATAATAATAATTAATATCAGGTTATAATAGTGACCTTAATGACTTGCTAATCGGTTTTCTTGGTTCTTACTTTGAAACAAGGAAGAGAAAGGATTTTTATTTACCATTTCAGTAAGCATGAAAGAGAGTGCATGGCACAGTAGTATACTTTAACACTGTTTTCAGTCCTGATCCTGGGCTAATGTGCACAGTGTAATTACTCAGGTCTGCTCCTGTCCAGGTACGTGCAGCACAATTTAGGTGGTTGTGGAATCTTGTCCCTGTCTAAGGTCAGCAGCATATGTTATAGATGCTGAAGGCAGCGACAAGGCATACACTGACCAGCACAAAATTGATACCTGAGCATCCTGGGAGGGACACTGAGTCCTGGCTTCTGCTGTGTTCTGAGCTTGGTGGGCACCTGCCTCAAGCAGAGGCAAAATGAGCCAGCAGTGTGCCCTTGCTGCAAAGAAGCCAATGTTGTCCGGGGCTGCATTAGGCACAACATTGCCAGCAGTTAAGGAACATGATCCTGCTCTCTGCTCAGCACTGGTGAGGCCACACCTGGAGTGTTGTGTCCAATGCCGGGCAATGTATATAAATACCTGAAGGGAGGGTGTGGGAAAGACAAAGCCAAGTTCTATTCATTAGTACCCAGTAACAGAACATGAGTCAAGGGGCACAAGCTGAAACACAGGATGTTCCCTCTGAACATGATGAAACGCTTCTTTACTGTGAGAGTGATGAAGCACTGGCACAGGTTGGCCAGAGAAGTTGTGGAGTCTCCTTCCTTGGAGATAATCAAAAGCCATCTGGGTACAGTTCTGGGCAACCAGCTCTAGGTGGCCCTTCTTGAGTAGGGATGTTGAACCAGATGAGCTCCAGCTGTCCCAGCCTCAGTCATTCTGTGTGATGGTTTAATATAGAGATTCTGTCCCACTCTGGATTTGAGACGTTGCTTATCCTCTGTTTAGTATAAAATGATGGAAAGTTAACACTTTGTGAAGGTGGATGTTAATTAATGCTCTCTGAATGAAAAATAGATTTTATTGAACAGTACTTTTTCTCTTCAGGTTCAATTACAACTGCAGATGGTTCTGCCCTGGTGAAATTAGGAAATACCACGGTGATTTGTGGAGTGAAAGCGGTATGGTTGGTTTTATTTAATTTATGTGTTAGCAGAATTTGTGCATTGGTGTTTAGAATGAATCGCCCACAGAGTTACAATAATGTGCCAATCAGACACAATTACAGTCTTTCACTAGAGTTATTTTCAGACATGAAAGTTAATATAGAATTTAATTACCTAATCCTACCTGTTTAGTCTGAGAACATGTATTTTTTGTGGTGCCCATCGTGTATGGGAAAGATGTATACAAATATAAACTCCTTGTTATTTCTAGATAAAAGCTATATAATTGAAAAGTTACTGAATATTGATCAATAAGTGCACTGCGGATTAGTTGGCTGGACTATCAAGTGCCTCAACTTTACTGCTGGCCTGCCATGAACTATGAGCCAAATCATTGCACGCCCCTGTACTGGGTTTTTCCATAGGAAATTTACAGACAAGGACCGATTGAAAATGGCTTTTGTAAATCTCATTGTAATGATAACTTTCAAGAAAATGAGTAGTTGTATATAGAATAGCTGGAAAATCTTGTCTTTTTTGTTTCTCCAGGAACTTGCTGCACCTGCAGCAGATTCTACTAATAAAGGGTATATTGGTGAGTGTGGATCTTGCTCGGGTCTTGTATTGCTTCAGTTAAGAGGCTGTAATGACAGATTGTGTTGGGAAGATTTCTTAAAAGAATGGATTTG